GCGGCCGCCCCCCCACTCCCATCCACTGCCACTGTGGCCGTTGCCCGGAGTTAGAATTTAGCAGATCGGAGCTGCGAAATAGTAGCTCTGAACCGTAGATTTTGGGCGCCTTGCCAATGAGGAATGGGGATGGCCCATGTTGGGTATCACAGAAAGATTTTCCACAGCCATGTTCTAGCTGGTTGGCTCATCACGTACTTGATTTATTGCGCTATGTCGCTTGTTGATCTCACTGATATCTAGCTAGCTCAAACAACTGAGAAGAAGCAAGCTAACAGACACGCAAGCAACCAAGCAAGCACACAAACAAACAAAGACTGACAGACAGATAGACAGATAGACAGATAGACAGATAGACAGATAGACAGATAGACAGATAGACAGATAGACAGGTGGACAGATAGATAGACTGATAGACAGATAGACAGATAGACAGACAGACAGACATCCAGAAAGAAAGAAGAAAGGAATGAAGGCAAGAAGGAAAGCAAGCAAGCAAGCAAGCAAGCAAGCAAGCAAGCAAGCAAGCAAGCAAGCAAGCAAGCAAGCAAGCAAGCAAGCAAGCAAGCAAGCAAGCAAGCAAGCAAGCAAGCAAGCAAGCAAGCAAGCAAGCAAGCAAGCAAGCAAGCAAGCAAGAGAGAAGGAAAGAAGGAAAGAAGGAAGGACGGAAGGACGGAAGGAAGGAAGGAAGGAAGGACGGAAGGAAGGAAGGACGGAAGGACGGACGGAAGGACGGAAGGACGGAAGGAAGGAAGGAAGGAAGGAAGGAAGGAAGGAAGGAAGGAAGGAACGGAAGGACGGAAGGACGGAAGGACGGAAGGACGGAAGGACGGAAGGACGGAAGGACGGAAGGACGGAAGGACGGAAGGACGGAAGGACGGAAGGACGGAAGGACGGAAGGACGGAAGGAAGGAAGGAAGGAAGGAAGGAAGGCAGGAAATAAATAAATAAATAAAGACAGACAGACAGAAAGAAAGACAGGAAAAAAAGAGATATCATACAGAATAACACATACTGTCAGAAAGATTAATGACAGAAAGAACGAAAGAAAGCATTTTTTAAACGAAAGAACGACATAAATAAACACAAATAATGAAAGAAATAAGTAGGAAGGACATATAAATACAGAAGGAAAGAACGAAAAAGAGCAAGAAAGCAAATAAGGAAGAAGGAGAGAGAGAGAGAGAGAGAAGGTAACTAGCACCATCACATTGGTAGATAAACAAACGAATGCATCAACAGTTGAGGAAGGAAAGACAGCAAAATAGCTGAAAAGAAAAAGAACCGAACAGAAAAGAACAGAACAGAAGAACAGAAAGGAAAGATGGACACAATAGAGAACGCAATAAATACATATAGCAGTATAGAAGCACCAATAGAGATGGGGGGGGGGCAGCACATAATAGAAACGACAAGGAAAGACAGAGAAAAATAAAGAAAGACAGACAGAAAGGAAGGAAGGAAGCCAGGAATAAAGAAAGACAGACATGAATACAGGAAAGAAGGAAGGACAAATACAATAACGAAATAATGTAAGGAAGACACAAGGAATTCTAAATAACGAAATAAACAAATAATTACATACATACCAGACATAGATTAACAGAACAGAAAAAAAAAAAAAAACACGAAAACACAGGGAAAAAGAAAGACAAGAAAGACTAACAAACACTGTAAGAGAAACAAAGACAGGCAGAACGCAAGAAAGAAAGAAGGAAAGAAAGAAGAAAAATACCGAAACAATGAAATATTGAAAGAATGAAAGAATGAAAGAGCGTAATAAATAAATGATACATAAATATTTACCGAAATAAATGTAGAAATAGTGAAATAAATACAGACAAGAGAGAGAGAGAGAGAGAGAGAGAGAGTGAGAGAGAGAGAGAGAGAGGCGAGAGAGAGAGAGAGAGGTGGGGATAGAGAGAGAGGGAGAGAGAGAGAGAGAGAGAGAGAGCGAAACAAGCGAACATAACATGCAAGGAAGCAAGTCAGCAAATGCACGGACTTCACACGAAAGAAAGAGACCTCAAACACATGCCCAAACACACAAACACAAACACAAACACAAGCAACTGAGCAATGAAGCAAGAGGTCATTCCCGGAGATCTTGACAACAATCGTTGAGGATTTTCAAAACAGCGAAGCACCAATCCAAGAAGGTGTGCATTTTCTTTTTACATTTCAATGCACTTGCTCTATAGTCTTGGCACGTGCTCAAATGGATTCTTGCTAACCACACAACTAGTAACTTAGTTGGCTACTTTAGCTACACACTTAGCTACTTAGCTACTTAGCTACTTAGCTACTTAGCCACTTAGCCACTTAGTTACTGAGTGAGGTGAGGTGAGGTGAGGTGAGGTGAGGTGAGGTGAGGTGAGGTGAGGTGAGGTGAGGTGAGGTGAGGTGAGGTGAGGTGAGGTGAGCGAGGTGAGTGAGGTGAGTGAGGCGAGTGAGGCGAGTGAGGCGAGTGAGGCGAGTGAGGCGAGTGAGGCGAGTGAGGTGAGTGAGGTGAGTGAGGTGAGTGAGGTGAGTGAGGTGAGTGAGGTGAGTGAGGTGAGAGAGGTGAGTGAGGTGAGTGAGGTGAGTGAGGTGAGTGAGGTGAGTGAGGTGAGTGAGGTGAGGTGAGGTGAGGTGAGGTGAGGTGAGGTGAGGTGAGGTGAGGTGAGGTGAGGTGAGGTGAGGTGAGGTGGAGTGAGGTGAGTGAGGTGAGTGAGGTGAGTGAGGTGAGTGAGGTGAGTGAGGCGAGGGAGGCGAGTGAGGCGAGTGAGGTGAGTGAGGCGAGTGAGGTGAGTGAGGTGAGTGAGGTGCGTGAGGCGAGTGAGGTGAGTGAGGTGAGTGAGGTGAGTGAGGTGAGTGAGGTGAGGAAGGTGAGGGAGGTGAGTGAGGTGAGTGAGGTGAGTGAGGTGAGTGAGGTGAGTGAGGGGAGTGAGGCGAGGGAGGCGAGTGAGGCGAGTGGGGCGAGTGAGGCGAGTGAGGCGAGTGGGGCGAGTGCGGCGAGTGAGGCGAGTGAGGCGAGTGAGGCGAGTGAGGTGAGTTGAGGTGAGGTGAGTGAGTTGATTGAGTTGAGGTGAGGAGAGGTGATGAGGTGAGGTGAGTGATGTGAGGGAGGAGTGAAAGTGCGTATTGCGAGGCGCCGTGCGTGTGTGCGTGCGTGGGAGGGAGGGAGGGAGGGGAGGGAGGCAGGGGAGCATGTGGAGCAAGTAGCGAGCGAGAGGGTGGCGATGCGAGGGCGGTTGAGCGATTCGGTGAGTGAGTGAATGAGAGGGGGTGAGTGAGTGGAAAGGGGGCGGGAGTGAGTACAGTAAGTGAGTGGCTGGCTGGCTGACTTGCTGGCTGGCTGGCTGGCTGGCTGGTTAGCGGGCTGGCTGGCTGGCTGCCTGCCTGGCTAGCTGGCTGGGTGCGTGAGTGAGCGAGGCTTGATGTGAGCGGATTGTGCGCGAAGTGATGTGATGTGAGTGAGTGAGTGAGTGAGTGAGTGAGTGAGTGAGTGAGTGAGTGAGTGAGTGAGTGATCGACGGTGGGGGGTGTGGCGCTGAGTTGACTGAGGGCACACAGAAACAAGTTGTCTTGGTTGAAGTGAGGAACCCGAATTGTTCAGCCCTCTGCTTGTTGGTTTCTTGGGTCCTTCCCGCCGGGTGCCCCGGAATCGCCCCGTTTTCCGGAATCGCGCTGAAGTGTAGCGCTCGGAGGGCATCCAAATCGGCGAAGCGAGGAAAGGAGCGGAGCGGCGTTTCGAGGCTGGAGCGGGGGCAGTTGAGGCGCGCTTTTATTTGTTTGGGCAACTACGCGGGTCTGGCATTTCGTGAGGTTTTTTTTTCTCCTTGTTTTTTTTTGGGGGGGGTAGAGGAATACCAAAAGGATAACCAAAGCGAGAACGAAGAGGATAACCAAGAGAAACTCACCAAAAGGACAACCCTAGGCGTTTGCCTCATGGGACATGGAGGCCCCAACGGTTTGTCTTGACCCCTTCCCTAGAGAACGGGCCTGGATTTGAGGGGGTCTCGCCCCGATGTGTGATGGGCGGGGGACGACATTTTCGCATTTGATGATTTATTTTTAAGTCTTAGCCTTTGGCTAAAGACACAATCTGCGATGCTTGCTGCTTTCGGCTCAGAGGAAGCTAGAGCATTGTAGCCATTGTAGCTTGCTGATTCTGATTGCTCACGGAGACCGTTTTCCCGCCCGTGTCTCCGATCAGCAATTGCCATGGAAAGGTGCCGGAGGCTAGCGAGTATGACACACGGACACTGATTCTGGCGGCCCAGATTTTGGCTGGGAAATGCGATTGCGCAAAGCACTTGATTGACCCTTGTTCCATTGAGCCGCCAAATCCAGGTTTGGGCATTTGACGAGTTGCTGCGGCCTTTGCAACGCAGAGGTGTGAGTGTCCTGCATAAATGCATACCAGAGCCTGCCCACAGCTTGATGGCGCAGCCAGCACCAGCGGCCGCGAGCTCTGCCAGCCCTGCTGCCTCCTTCCGACCGAGGGGCATGACAGTTTCAATGGGCCCAACACTGCCCCATTGCGACCCGTCGCGACCCATCAAAGTGCTTGACTTGCCCGGAGCCCAAGCATGCTTGGGCTGGTGATCTTGTGGTCTGTGCTGACATTGAGGGCAGGGCCCACAGCAGCCTCGTGTATGACTTGGTTTTGTGGTAATCGGCAGTCGGCCTTCGAAGCGTGCTGCGGTTTCTGCAGGATTCCCTGCAGTCGGCAGTCGGCTACAGGGGCTGCGTTTGCTCACGGTACTGCATTGTTCATGCGCAATAAAGTGCCTGGAAATCGCATCTTGAAAGGTCACATAGGGCATTGCATGGATACAGAGCCGCATCTTGACCCAGGGCCAACATGTCTAAGACATGGACAACCTTTGCAACACAGAGGTGTGAATAACCTGCAGAACGGCATGCCAGAGCGTGCCCGCAGCTTGATGGCGCAGCCAGCAGCAGCCGCGAGCCCCGCCAGCCCGGCGGGGTGCCCTGCGGATGAAATTGACACGCCTCTTCTGCTTCCTTCCGACCGAGGCATGACAGTTTCAATGGGCCCAAAGGTGTCCTTGCGACCCATCGCGACCCATCAAAGTGCTTGACTTGAGCGGAGCCCAAACATGCAAAAGTCTTTGTGCTTGTGGGCTCTTGCTCAAACATAGTGAGCGTTGCCCGCAGAGCTTGCTGAAGTGGAAAAGCGCCCACGTGGAAGGCCGCTTCAAAACAGTTGTGCGTGTTGGAGCAGAGGATGTATCCCACGCAGCAGCAGAGTTGGCAATGAAATGAGACCTTTATCTTGGTCAGCGCCGCTCACTCGTGCTCTCCGCTCACGTGGGCCTTTACTCTAGGCCCCTAGGCTTGGCAGCACAGTGTGCGCAGCTGCCCGCTGTAACAGGCAGTCGGCTTCGCAGTAAGCTGCTAGCCACGGCTTCCGAAAGATTCGTTTTGTTGTTCATCAAGATTGGGCAGCGGAACCCTTGACATTTGGCAGTTACCGCCTGCTCGGCTTTGCAGCTTTTGACGCCGAACCACAAGCAACCATCGCAAGTTTGCCAAGTGGACCCAAGCAGAAGTCTTTCGACGAGGATGCAAGATTTATAGCTCGAGCTATCTCACTAGCCGTTTCCACTTGCGTGAAAGGAGTTGGAGACAGAAGGCTCTCCTGCAGCGCTACTGAAGCACGCGCCGCCCAGGCGCTTGGGCTTGCAATGGTCAAATCAGTTCCATTCAGATAGCAGTCTGGCGCACCTGTTGCAAAGCCCCGATCTTTGGAACTTGGCAGTCAAGCAGGGGTGTTGCGAGCCTTTCAAGGATGAACGAAACACAAGGGGCTTGTGCGGCAAAACGGGATCTTCAGGCATTAAACGACAACGTGCGTCTGTGTTCAGTCACACACAGCAGCCATATAAACGCAAGGGCAGAACTTTCGTCTGATGTCCTTTTGTCAGAGCAAAACCAATGGGGCGCGCAGTCTGGAGCAGTATGCGGATTGCCCAGTATTTCCACTCACTACTCCTTACCCGTTGTCAGGTCGCCTGTTGCTGCACACAGAAGCGCTGGTTGCGATCTATGACTGCTCGCGGCAGGTGAGAACCTCTTGCAGAAGGTCCGCAGCTTGCGTTGAACTGTGGCGTGGACGAAGTGTGGAAGCTCATTCTGGCAGAGACTTGCCCGCCCTTGTTTCAACTGGGAGGGAAACATGGTTTAGCTTGCAACATTGTTCTTTTCCGCAAGGCAGTGTTTAGGCGCCATAGGAGCCTAAGCACGCTATGCAAAACATTGAGATTTCGCGGGGGCGAACAAGAACGTGTTTTGTTGCGTGGCCTCAGAAACAGGGGCCGCAGCACATGTACAAACCCTTCGTTCGCGCTGTTCTTGTTTCGCAGGCCTGCTTCAGACAATGATGCCCTTGTAGCAGCAAGCCAGGAGAAGGGCATCAAGGTAGTGTTCTGCAAAGCTGGAAGGCGCTTGGGTGGAGATTGCGCAGAAGTCATTCGCGCAGCGATCAAAATCCCCAAGGAACCCTTTTTCGGGGCGGTGCCGGAAGGATTTGCGCAGAGAGCGGAAGCTCGAGCAAGCTTCCGCGGAGCATAGTCCAAATCAATTGACAAGCCTTTATAGGCTTGCAAAGTCTGCTTTCGCGGAATGCCGCCGCAACTCTAATTTTGTTGGCTTGTGTTGCGCGTTGCAAAGAAGGAGCTGCCAGCAGGCAGCATTGAATTTCTCACAAAAGTGCCTTTCATGCATGCAAGCGGGTACGCGCAAACAAAGCTTGTTCTTAGTGCCACACACAATGCGAGTAGCTACTGTGTTGACCCCAGCAAGCCCATCAAAACGTAACCCTTGCATCTTGGTCGCTGCTCATTCAATCTACACGGCACAGACTCAGAAGTGTCATGGCTGACCGTTTTGGAAAACCATGCAGGCGCCGACCGTGCTGAATGCCGAGCCAGGTTCCTCCCGGTTTGGCGCTGGCTTTGCAAAATTTATCACCGCGCAAGCCTGCCTCACGTGCAACGCGGCAGTAATACTGGGTAGAACCCTTCCTGAAGACAACTGCGCTGCATCCTTCCTGTAATGCGGTCAGGGTCTGTGACGACAACGTTGCTTGAGACTGCCATGGTGAACTCAGCTCCATTCCAACAGCAATCTTGAACCTTTTGGAAAGCCCTGGGCAGTCAAGTAGCGGTGTTGCAAGCCTTTCAGGGCTCAGCAAAGCACAAGGGTGCCCCGCTTACTACGCCTTTAGTTTACCCTTTGTCAGGTCAGCCCAAATAGATGCAGCTCATACGCATAAACATGCAGATTGCCTAGCAACATGCTCAACATGCCACCTTAGCCTTCACCTATTTTAGAACTGCCCTGCCATGCAGAAGTGCCCCGCGAAACCCCCCCCCGCAGAGCTTCGAATAGAAAGCCAGTGCCGACTTTGCAAGCTCCGCAGTGTCTTGAGTGTCTTGGCCTTTACTCTCCCTGCTTGGCGCTTCGCGTGTTTTTCCCGCTCAAGATGCTCAAGCGAACATGTCTAGATGTGGACATTTAGACAATCAGGTAGCACGGAGGCGGAAGGTTTGCGGAATGTGTTTTTCCGCGGAAGGTCGAGGAAGGGATGTGGTCGATTTGCACAAAAAAAGGAAGAACTAGCAGATCGTGCGCTCGAATTCTCCGCGGAAGCAGCACACTGTCAGACTCAGAGCAAAGCCAATGGGGTACGCGGTCAGCAGAATTCGGATTGCCTGACCCAGTGGTTCGCAGAAGTCGCTGGGGGTTCGCAGAACTTGCTTGGGTTCGGGGTGCCGCTCTTGGCTTTCGCGGGAATCCGTGGCATGCGGTTTGCAGCTTGCCAAAAGGGCCAGGACTTTCCGACCGGTGAGAAGGGGGCGGGGGATCACAGAAATTTCACAAGAGGCGAGGGAGTTGCAGAAGTTCGTGGGAGGTGCCGGGAGTTCGCAGAATTTCGCAGAAGCCGGGATTCGCCGAAGTTTGGTTTCATACTAGTTTGTTTGGGTGCTGCGCTGGTTTTGCCTTTACTGCACACTGTAAACCGATCTCGTGCTTCCTGAAGGCTCGCTTCCAGATGTCCGGGCCTGCAAATGCAGTCAGGGTCTGTGACGACAACGTTGCTTGAGATTGCCATGGTGAACTCAGCTCCATTCCAACAACAGCTTGGAAAGCCCTGAGCAGTCAAGTAGGGGTGCTGCGAGCCTTGGGCTCAGCAAAACACAGGGTGCCCCCGGTTGCTACTCCTTTAGTTTACCCTTTATCAGGTCAGCCCGCCGGCTGCTGCAAATAGATGAAACGGCCCACTTAGTGAAGGCTATTTTCGCACTGCCCTGCCTTGGTAAAAGTCGAAGCTTTAACGCACCTCGTATCTGGGCCAAAGCAGCAACATCTGGATTTTGTATGAGAGCAAGTAACCATGGAGACGTTCATCCTTCCCATTATTGGGCACACCGGCTGCCGTAGGAGAAACTGGGTCGCAACCAGTTCGGCTGGCATTTGACAAACATGGCAAAGGCGCTGGAAAAGCGCTGTCTCAGGCGCGCTAGCCAGCCAACCGTGTGCTCTGGTGACCCACAATTGGGGCCAACCCAGCATTGTACCCATTCTGCTTTAAGTCTGGCGACTCCTGCGGGGCCTTGCTGGCCCAATTTCGACCTCCAACATCAAAGTCTCGAGAGCTGATTGTGAATCTTCTGGCGCCGCTTCGTGCCCCGCGAAACCCCCCCCTCGCAGAGCTTCGAATAGGACCAGGAAGCCAGTGCCGACTTTGCAAGCTCCGCAGTGTCTTGAGTGTTTTGGCCTTTACTCTCCCTGCTTGGCGCTTCGTGTGTTTTTCCCGCTCAAGATGCTTAAGCGAACATGTCTAGATGTGGACATTTAGACAATCAGGTAGCACGGAGGCGGAAGGTTTGCGGAATGTGTTTTTCCGCGGAAGGTCGAGGAAGGGATGTGGTCGATTTGCACAAAAAAAGGAAGAACTAGCAGATCGTGCGCTCGAATTCTCCGCGGAAGCAGCACACTGTCAGACTCAGAGCAAAGCCAATGGGGTACGCGGTCAGCAGATTTCGGATTGCCTGACCCAGTGGTTCGCAGAAGTCGCTGGGGGTTCGCAGAACTTGCTTGGGTTCGGGGTGCCGCTCTTGGCTTTTGCGGGAATCCGTGGCATGCGGTTTGCAGCTTGCCAAAAGGGCCAGGACTTTCCGACCGGTGAGAAGGGGGCGGGGGATCACAGAAATTTCACAAGAGGCGAGGGAGTTGCAGAAGTTCGTGGGAGGTGCCGGGAGTTCGCAGAATTTCGCAGAAGCCGGGATTCGCCGAAGTTTGGTTTCATACTGGTTTGTCTGGGTGCTGCGCTGGTTTTGCCTTTACTGCACACTGTAAACCGATCTCGTGCTTCCTGAAGGCTCGCTTCCAGGTGTCCAGGGCTTTAGGAACAAGCGCCAGCCGGCTGGTTGAGATTCTGACGCGCTTGCGAGAAAGGGTGCAAAGCAGGTTGACTTGGTCGCACCCTTGGCCATGACCAAGCCCGGGACTCTGACCATCTCTCCTGCCTCGGCTGCAAAGCTGCGGGCGGTACCGATGGAGGAGGTCACTTGATGCGTTTGGTCGCAATTTTAGCGGGATGGCATGGTGCAGTCCATGGGGGCAAAAGCGTGAAAAGCATGTGCAGGCCACTGATTGGCGCCCAAAAGTGCTCATACCACCAAACAAACGCACATTTGATGTCCACTGTTTCTTGCAACTTGCAATCAATTGTTACACGTTTCGGATTTGCGCTCGTTTTGAGGGTATGTGCGCCCTTTTTGCGGGTATTGGCACCTCTTTTGCGGGTATGTTTTTGCTAGAACACCGCGCAACGGGCGGTTTTCAAGAAGGAGAAGCCGCCAGAACTGCAAGAATTGCTCGAAGCAACATTTACGCCCAATCCCCTGCAAAACGCGATATGAGGCTCAGCACAGCCCAGCTCAGCTGGTGGGGATTCACCAAAAGAAATGCCTACACGTCGAAAACCTCCCGAAAGTGCTTTCAAATTCAGCAAGGGGACACTTAAGGATCCGAGTCTTCGAAGGAGGTACTTTAACCCTCTTAAGCCCTATGCCATGTTGTAGGGAAGGGTATCAACTCACCCTGATCCCAGAAGATCCAGGTACCAGTAGCAGGTACTCAGGACACTCACCTCTGGACTTTGCATGATGGATTTTTCTGGTTGCTAAACATGCTTTGACTCCGTCCATCTTAGTCGACCTGAGCCCTGAACTCAGCACCATTCCTGTCAGAGAGTGGCGCTGCAAACTGTTCGGTTCCATCGGCCTTGCTTGAGCCCTGACAAACATCTCACCCTAGCAGGTGACAGCCTCCTTGCACTGCAAAGTGCAAGGGCTAGAGGTGACGAGCTTGAAAGGAAACTTGTGGTCATTGGAATTTCGCCCCAGACACTCCATGTTTAGGGAATAGGGTAAAATGTGGGTGTACTTTACCTCAGGCGGAAGCGTGTTGGTACTTTGCAGAGACAACATACTGCAGTCATCAGCATCCCAGGCGTCCTTTTGAAAGAAAATTGATGGGCACTTGTGGATGAAACCAAGCTGTGCTTCTGAAGTGGGTGCTCCGCCTTCTTGACATCGGACAGCGTGTGTCTGGAATGGCCGTTCCGATGTGCTCGCAAGCGCACATGGATTGATTTCACCATTGGTGCCCCGCAGCGATGGTGATTCAACCCACCCAGCTTTGAGTAAACAAAAAAGACAAGCAGACTTGCTTTCAACCATTATTACAACGCGACAACCAGTCGTCACTTTCAGAAAAGTGATTGAATTTCAGTCACAGTGGCCAGTTGATGTTTAAAAGCAGCAACTTGGCTATCCAGGCGCCCTCAAACTCTTGGGCATTGCAATGCGTTGCAGAGGTGCTGCGCTCGCGTGACAGATAGCTGCTTGCCCACAGATGCCCCATTGTTTCGTGTGCTAGCAAGGCGGATGGGCTTCTTCCCTTTTCGTCGGCCAGGCCTAGAACAGAGGGCAGCGCAGAAACCAGAGCTGACGTCCGGGCACGACTTGACAGCCGCAGCCTGTGAGGACAACGCACGTGATTTGACCCGACATCCTGGCTGGTGGGACATCGGGCCATTCTTGGCCCAATACTTCGGAAAGAGCCAAAGAGCTGCTTTCGGACACAGACATTCAGCAGTGCAGTCTGGCGAGCCCAAAGTGAGAAAAAAAACAGCTTGTCAGAATCAAGTCTGCGTTTGCTAGATGGCGGATTTGGAGAATCTCACAATGGGGTCGGATTGAGCTTTCAACATGTTGTCCATGGGTGGACCACTCGCTTTTGTGCGTCGTAAGGCACTGTTTTTTCGTTGGAAACGAGCTGCTTGTCGAACAGGTGAGTGTCTTGGCATGGTGATTTCGGGAATGTTTTCCAGCTGCATCGCCACCCACGCTCATTTCAAGCCTCACGATCATGTTGTTTTTTTCTTCCTTTTTTTTCTCTCTCTCTCTCTCTCTCTCGCTCTTCAGCTCGCTCTCTCCTTCCCTTGCTCTGTTTCTTTCCTTATTTTTAATTTTCTCGGTCTATTTCTCTCTCACGTGTTTTTTTCTCTTTCACACCCAGTTTGTGCAGATCAAAGATCGAATAAGCCAGCGTATGGGCCCCGTTGCCACTTTGCACTTTGGGGTGAGACCCAACTCCGCGAACTCCGTTGGGTTTTGCGTGTGTGTGTGTGTGTGTGTGTGTGTGTGCGGAGTGACAGAATGCCCTGTCACCACCCTTTCTATTTCGCAGCAGGGGCGTGCAGCACCTTTGGCATACTGCCCGCAATGAAGCTACTGCCAAAGGTGGGAAGGGTGTCCAGACGTGGACACCTGTACCTGCGTCGTGATGTTGCTGAAAGTCCTTTTGGTCCCCTCCCTGAACCGCCGTTGTTTTGTGTTTCCCTGTTAAAGTACCTACAGGGAAGCCAAGTGCATTGCGAGCCGAAACTCATCGTACTCGAGACTTGTCGGTTGTACTCGAGACTCATCAGTTGTACTCGAAAGATTAGCACTCTCCATCTGGAGTTCAAGTGTGTACACCCCATTCGTGGGGAATCCTCGGGTGTACCCATTGTGTGACCCCGGGCCGGCTCTGTCGGAAAATTTGACCTCAACGTGCGTATCATAGAACAGCGGAATTTCACATTTAACCAGGAACGAGGTTTCACTAAAGGGAAGATAGCTGTCAGATCATAGCGACGTCTCACCATAGCTGCTGAAGGCTGCTGACTTGAATCGCATTGGCTTGCATTTTGTTGGATTCGTTGCTCTTACCATAGCTGCTGATGGCTGCTGACTTGAACTTGCATTTTGTCGGATTCGTTTCTATCACCATTGCTGCTGATGGCCGCTGACTTGAACTTGCATTGACTTGCTACTGATCGCCGCTGACTTGAACTTGCATTGACTTGCATTTTGTCGGATTCGTTTCTCTCAAGGTGGAAGTGTGCAAATTCCGATTTAGTTGCGTCACCATGTCTCGACGTGATGATCGTGACAGATCCAGGACTCGACGCAGACGTGATCGGAGTTCTTCCCCTCAAGCTCGTAAAGCACACCGACGCGAACACAATGACAACCAGGTCTCGGAGAACATGGATTGGAACAACTTGGTTTCATGGCAACACAACTCCGGCTACAATGCTGCTAGCAACTTTCCGATGGCGCCTACCAATTTTCAATCGACTCACAACCCCACGCAGCAATTCCAATACCCGGCGATCAACTACATGATGCCGATCCCTCCTGATCCCACACCGTCCAAGTTCATCCCACCAATGATGCCACCACCGGTCACTACTTCCCAACCTACACCTTCACCTGGTTTTTCTGCAGCTCTACCGGTTCGTCCTCAGAAAGCCTGGCTTACTCCCTCGCCTGACTGGACACCAGATGGCATGTTTGATGTCAATCAACTCTACCACTTCAGCCTGCCCATGACTGTTGCCAACACTCCACATGGCAACCTTCGCGACATGTCAGGCATGGATATTAGGGACGTACGCCTGGTTCAGGTTATCCACGGGGCCTCACCAACTGGCTACTCAGGCCGTTTGCACACGGCCGATTCGTGACGTGGGAAGGATTTCGCACCCGCACTGAGGCCTTACTTTGGAGTACCTGCTCCAAATTACTACGAAGATCGCAGTCCCTCAACCTGCTCACCCTGGAAAAGGACCTTGCCAACACGCTGGGTCTCAACATTGATGACTTCAATCAGCGCATCAAGGTCCACGACCATTTGGCCAACCTGGTACTTCAATTTCTTCAACAACATCACACCTCTCTCGCACCTGCCGCCCAGACCGATGACATGGTCAAGAAGTTCAATGATTTGAATCGTGCACATGAACTTCTCCAAGCTCAGTATTCTGCATCACTTCGCGCATCGACCTCGCCCACGATGACAAACCAAAAAGATGATGCAGAGTTGGTTACACCGCCACCGGTCAACCACACACCATCCTCTTCACCTGCCAGCTCCCTTCCCACAGCCAGCGCTGCCGCCCTGGATGGCAAGTCGTTTGATAGCGTGGTGCAACCTCGGATCATGCAGTCTCTTCACGGAGTGTCGTCACCGCCGTCCAAACCGGCGGCGTCACAGTTGCTCACCATTCACAGCACGCCGGATGAAGTTGTCAAGTACTACACATGGACCAGTGACCAACCTCGCCTTTTCCTCAAGCAAGCACCCACAACAACCACTTTGGCGTCGCTGGTTAAGTGGGCCAATCACCCGTCCCGGCTCAACGGCAACAAGTCGTTAGATTCTATGGCGACGCAGCTTCTTCAGGCCAGGCAGCGCACGCCGAAGGGCGATGCGCCCACACTCGGTGCAATGGCAGCACTATGGGGTCTTGAACCCGGGTACCTTACCAAACTCACCGAGAAGGCATTGAGTCACCTCATCGTGACCGCTCGCCTGCTTTGTGGATGAGAAGGCATCATTTCGACCTTCGATCTCATATGAGCCCGGAGCGGCAACAATGTCACGGATAAGTCCAGGTGAAAATTCGTCCGTCAAGTGTTTGCGTTGCACATGATTGATCTTGTACTTGCTTGTTCTTGCGTTGCCTCTTGTGTGATTGTCTGAGATGCTTGTATTTATGTCGCCGCCTTGTGGTAGATTTCGTTGGTTGCATCTCACCATGTTGGATGAACTTCGCCACTGCGGAATCTATGATGATGTTGCACAATGGCAGTCGCTGGACGACCTTCTGCACTCGTTGACTACATTCTCGACGTGCTGGCATTACTGTTTCCCTGGACTACCACCACCGTCGATTCCACTTGAGGAGTACGAATCCATCATACAATTGCCGTGGCTGGGTCTCATCCTCGAGGTCTTAGTTGTGGTCCGGATAGCCCTCCAGATTCCGAATTGCGCCATGTCCAACTCTCAGCACACCGTGGCCAACAGGTATGAACTTCACAGATGTCGGTGCGCTGCCTATTTATTGATCAGTTTCTTACAACGTCTCATTTCACAGGATCACGGCTACCTCCCGCCGTTCTTCGAAGTCCTTCACTTCTACAAGACTTCTCTCTTGTGTGAAATCATGCACTCGACTTTCGCTGACTCGCGACATCTACGCTCATTGCGGGCGCGATTTCCTGACCTCTACGACTTCATACATGATCCAGGTCATCACCAACAACCGTGCGTCTACATTCGACTTTCCCCATGGCACACACCATACTATGTTGGGGCGACTGATCAGGATGTTCTACGTCGTGAACACTCACGCAGTCGCAAATTTCTGCAACTACTTCGTGGACGGCATGCCTTCTTTGAACCGGCGCTTCACTACTGGAAACGATCCAATACTTACTGGCTCTTCTGTGCTGTACCAGTGGAAATCAGACTTCCAGTTTCCTCGGTGTGGGTTCAAGAAAGCAAATGGCAATACCTGCTACGCCCGCATTTGAATGCGCCCTGGGTACACAGAATCTTGCGCAAGGTTGGCTTCCGGGAACATCTTGTAGATTTTCGACGCCACTCGTTGTCGACGCCCACTTCCATCGGCTTGCACAAGCGCTTTCGACGACGACTACATCCGGATCTCCAACGGCAACTACGACCTGACACCCTGGATGACATTCAAGCCCACTACTCGATCCTCTATCAGCTGGGATCGAATACAGGAGCGTCGTTCCAAGTCATGCGTGACCTACTGTCAGCCGCTTTCCCTCCCACTCAGCTGTACTACTTATTGCGGCTCGCAGTATTTGTCAACGAACCCTTCCGCTCCAAGGCCCAGAAGCTACTCGCCCAGGTACTGCGCAAACGACGGCTGCAACCACCCTCCACTCTGACACAGCTACTTTTGCCGCCGCTGCATGTCCAAAATTGGAAGGCGCTACTTGGCACATGGTTACAAAACTGGATTGCTTCCCATCGGGATCTGTTCCCTTCTCTTTTCATTCCAAAGATCCGGGTTGTGGGAACCCGCAGCGCCACATTGGGCGACAAGATATACAACTATCGCACATGGCAGCGCAAATGGACGCCTGACACATCCTTTCCGTGTCGCTGTTTAGACATCGATGACCACCATCTACTCCGTGCACATGGTCACGCAGTAATGGTGGATGACTTTTCTCGCATCAATGCGGACATTAACGTGGAGATCATGGCCGCCTCAATGAAGGATCAGTTTTTCGGTGATGTCGACCTATTGCATCAACGTTACACCACGCAACTTCGCAAACTTGCTCGACGCTGGCATGTACATGGTTCCGATCTACTTCCAGATCTACAACCGGTCGTGGCTCAGTTAATGGAGACCCATCGGATCAACCTCCAAGATCAGGCTTATTGGTCATCGGCATCGTTGCAACGCACTGTGGCCTCTTTGTCTTCTTGGGTAGTTATCCCAGCGGATCATTTTCCCTCCCGTGCACATGTAGTGTGCCCGTCCCTGTTTGCCATATTGATGCGGAAGACATTCTGCGCGGGGCTCACTTTGCCGCGAATCCGCAGCATCGTTTCGCTCTGAAGTGGTAACCACGGTACCTTCTCTCCTACGTCAACGATACGCATGGGGACTTCGACTTCAAGCACCGTTGCCCACAGCGCGCATCCTTCCAAAGCCGACCAAGGACTGGCAGAAAGCTCGACCCATCATTTCATTCTTTCGCACATGGGCGGCTCCCTTCCTCACGGTCTTCGGTGCGCTCA